TAAAGGGCCGATGGGTGGGCAGCAGAGGCGACGTGTAACCGGCTGCTGCCTGGCACCTGCCCGCACTCCCCAGCCACCACAGTGCACAGCCTGTGCCATCCGCAAACGGGATGTGGGGGTGGAGCTCTGCTGGCCAAGAGCCAGGACACAGCGGGGGCTGCACTGACGGACCAGCAGGGGGAGCAGCCATCCCTGCACGCTGCAGCTTTGCCCCGCCACCAGCCTGGCACACCCACTCCCATCGTTGGTCACTGGACCCCACCACTTAATGCTGGTGGGAGGCGGCTGGCGAACTGGGATCTGGCCAGCAGCAGGACTCACCAGTACTGATGGGGAGGAGACAGAAAATACGGGACAATTTGCTCATTTTAAACAAAAAGTTGGGACACCTGCAGGAGGACTTAAATAAGGGGCTGTTCCTTTCAAAATGGAATATCTGGTCACCCGAAATTTAAGGCAGATTTGAATTCCAGTCTCCAGTGATGAAAGGCTAATATATTAACTCATTGCGTCACTTACCCACTGCAACTGGATCCATGCATGCAGACCACTGCACCCTGCAAGAGCCTGCAGTAGGACTCTGTATGGATGGATGGGTCTTGCAGATCCTGTTGCAGGCTTGGGGTCAAGAACTTTTTTGTCCCCTTCAAAAGCAATTTTGTATACCAGGAAATTCCAAGCACTGACCAAACCTTGTCTTGAGACAAGCTGCCTTCAGTTCTGTGAAGATCCCAATAAATACAGGACTGAATGTACCACTGAGGCACAGTGCTAAACTGATACACGACTCTGTGCTCCTGTGACAGTTGGTTATTTAGCTGTGGTTGTTCAGATGCTGCCAAGACTGCAGCTGAAGTGCTGATTAACCCCAAAAACAATTGATACCCAGGACATATGTAGGAAATGATCCAAATTTTATGGGTGGTAAGGGAGAGTTTGTGTGAAACTTACACTATTCAACTAAATGTAGTTTTTGTGTGTGTAATTATACTGTGGTGGAGACATTACTCAGCTGCTCTAATTCACAGCAGTGATATCAAACCCAGGAGTTACAACATTTTTAGGATGTTCCATAGTTGAAGCTGCCCAGGTAGCAACTTCAAGAGAAGATGCTATGGGTTCAGTTGCTGCTTCAGTCTTAAGAGTGAAGGAGAAGTTAAGTGAAAAATGAAGAGGTGCAAAAAGCAAGCCTCCAAAACAATTCAGATCCACTCTCAATCAAACTGAAATACAAGGTTATATTAAGTATCAGGGGGTAGCCGTGTTAGTCTGTATCTACAAAAACAACAAGGAGTCTGGTGGCACGTTAAAGACTAACAGATTTATTTGGGCATAAGCTTTCGTGGATAAAAACCTCACTTCTTCAGATGCATAGGATCTGAAGAAGTGAGGTTTTTATCCACGAAAGCTTATGCCCAAATAAATCTGTTAGTCTTTGAGGTTATATTGCCATCTCGTGGTTTCTGGAGATAGCAGAACTCAAAAGAGTTACGGTTCTCAAAACCACAGCATAACCTTGCAGGGATCACTACCAGTTTATTCTCTCTGTAATATATTACACCCTTAAATTCACAGACATAATATTTTTGGCTGAAACAGGGTCACATGACAATGTTTTTCACTATTGCTATCCTACCCTTGCTATTGCTAAATATATTAACTAGCGAGACACCGGCTAGGACACAGTGACATGACCTTGTAACATATGATGAGCAAGCCTCACTACACAAGAACAACTCTGATGCAGCAGCATTTTTAATCACATGATTTTTTTTACCGTCTCTTTTCAGATATTTAAGCTTATTCCAACCTCTGTACACTATTTGGGGTACATTTCCTTACTCTTCTGCTGTTTTTAGGCCCTTCAACATACTAGAGAGCACATAAATTGGGTGTGGGGGCAGGGGAGAGAAGGGAGCTGGGACAAAAGCAAATATTTAAAACACACCTAGGGACACCTAGACTTGTCCCCAATGTTCTGAATAAAAAATATGTTTTAAAGAGAATGTGAGGTACAGCCATTAACATTGAGACAATTCTCTGTTACACTTCCCCAACCGGGTTGCTGTAGTTCCTACTAGATTGCTAATACTGGTTGTGAGGGGCATATTATATAATCAGAGAGTAACTGAAGCTACACATAGCATTGTATTAATTACATATGACTACTTAATTCTGTGCAAATCTTTTGTCGCAGCCCTGCAGCTCTTCTCATGTATTTCCATGATACAATCATATAGATTAATAAATGTTCAGACCAGAAGGGACTATTACAATAATCTAATTTGTTCTTCTGTATAACACACGCTGTAGAATTACACACAGCAATTTCTGCATCAAGCCACAACTTTTGGTTGAGCTACAACATATATTATAGAGAGATATTCAGTTTTAATTTAAAGACTTCAGGTGTTCAAGAATCTACCCCAATCCTTTGGTTAATTGATTCAAAGGTTAATCACCCTAATTCTTAAAAATTTGCACCTTATTTCCAGTTTGAATTTGCCTAGCTTCATCTTCCAGCCATTGGCTCTTTTTATGCTTTATTTCTGCTAAAGTAAACGACATCTACAGTCAGAAATCTCTTCAGCATATATGTACAACCTAGGGCCATCATACATATTTAGGGACACTACATATGTAGCTACATAAATATAGTAAAAGTATCTGTTCCTAAAATCTATCCAGCTCCCTTTAGTTGTTTTGGAAGTGTTAACATCTTTTAAAGTGATCTTTTATTCCTCTTTAACAATGTTAACTTATCCATGTAAGTACATTTTAGTTAGAATCCAGTCATCCTCTTTAATTCACACACAATATAGCCTGGCCTCACTCCATTGCCTGCTCCTCATAAGTATCCCCAGGCTCAAACCAATCATGTAGCACTCATCCCCACACCCATATTCTCCCACTGAAAAAAATGAGATCTTAACTTTCTCATTGTTTGCCCTTCTGAACATTTATTAATCTATATGATTTCTCCTGACCTCTCTTCCCAGTCCCCACTAATTCTTCTTAAGAGCATGTGCTCTTCCCCCTTTGCCTCTACAAATTCTCTTTACACCCTCATTTCTTCTCGGTCTGAATTCCCTCCAGTTCTTCTACCCCTCACAAAGTGCTTTTCTAGCAGTTCCCTACAATTCTCCTTCATCCCCATTTCTCTACACCTACAGGTATATACTCTCACCTGTTAGACTAGGGCCAGTTAGACAGGCAGAACTGCAGGGTCACAATGCATGGATGAGACGATGGTATTTGGAGGAATAGAATTATCAGACACATGGGTGAACGTGATATGTTGGTGAAGAGTCAACATGGCTTTTGTAAAGGGAAATCATGCCTCACCAATCTATTAGAATTCTTTGAGGGTGTCAACAAGCATGTGGACAAGGGAAATCCAATGGCTATAGTGTACTTGGACTTTCAGAAAGCCTATGACAAGGTCCATCACCAAAGGGCCTTAAGCAAAGTAAGCAGTCATGGGGTTAGAGGGAAGGTGCTCTCATGGATCAGTAACTGGTTAAAAAATAGAAAACAAAGGGTATGAATAAATAGTCAGTCTTCACAGTGGAGAAAGGGTCACTCAAGGATCTGTACTGGGATCACTGCTTTTCAACATATTCATAAATGTTCTGGAAAAAGGGGTAAACAATGAGGTAGCAAAGTTTTCAGATGATACAAAATGACTCAAGATAGTTAAGTCCAAAGCTAACTGCAAAGAGTTACAAAGGGATCTCACTAAACTGGGTGACTGGGCAAGAAAATGGCAGATGAAATTCAGTGTTGATAAATGCAAAGTAATGCACATTAGAAAACATAATCCCAACTATGCATACAAAATGATGGGGTCTAAATTAGCTGGTACCACTCAAGAAAGAGATCTTGGAGTTATTGTGGATAATTCTCTGAAAACATCTGCTCTGTGTGCAGCGGCAGTCAAAATAGCTAACAGAATGTTGGGAACCATTAGGAAAGGGATAGAAAATACCATAGTACCTCTCTACAGATCTATTGGACGCCCACACTTTGAATAGTGTGTGCAGTTCTGGTTGCCCCATCTCAAAAAAGATATATTACAATTGGAAAAGGTACAGAGAAGGGCAACAAAAACGATTAGGGATATTAAACAGTTTCCATATGAGGCGAGATTAAAAAGACTAGGACTGTTCATTTTAGAAAAGAGATGACTGGGGAGGGAGGGGGAATATGACTGAGGTCTATAAAATCATGAATGGTGTGGAAAAAGTGAATAAGGAAGTGTTATTTACTCCCTTCACATAACACAAGAACCAGAAGTCACCCAATGAAATTAATAGGCAGCAGGTTTAAAACAAACATAAGGAAGTACTTCTGCACATAACACACAGTCAACTCATTGCCACAGGATGTTGTGAAGGTCAAAAGTATAAGTGGGTTCAAAAAAGAATTTCATAAGTTCATGGAGGATAGGTCCATCAATGGTATTAGCCCACAAGGTCAGGGACGCGACCCCATGCTCTGGATGTCCCTAAATCTCTGTTTGCCAGAAGCTGGGACTGAATGACAGGGGATTGGTCACCTATCAATTACCCTGTTCTGTTCTTTCCCTCTGAAGCATGGGGCACTGGTCACTGTTGGAAGACAGGATACTGGGCTAGATGGCACATGGGTCTGACCCAGTATGGCCATTCTTATGTTCACCACTGCTGTTAACTCTCCATGCTTTGTTCAGCAGATTATCAAACCAACATGCCAAAGCCTAATGCTTATATCAAAATTTTAAACAAAATAATTGTATCAATCTCAATAAGTGTTTATTTTTTTGGCAAACAGCTGAGGTCAAAAGCAGCAAATCTGAACATACAATGTTAGACAAAGCAAACGTTTAATTTGATACATGCTGTTGTAAGATTCAAGCGCATATCAAAATCAGTGTGGAAGGGGAGACATAGACATAATAACTAAGCTCACTCAGCTTCCTAAATAGTTCGCACACATTCAGAAAGTTCACGTTAGTTACATTTTGTACTTGCATGTTTATTTACATAGAGACGGAATCACAAATTAAAGAGCTTCATCTCACACTCTAACCTCGGGTAATATTCCTGGTATGGTAGGATTGGTCTTTAGTGGTACAGCAGGATTGGATCCAAATGTGTAGTACCAGAGACATTCTGGTGTCTTTTTTATTATATTAAAGTCTGCATGTTACAAGAAATGTCAACAAAAACAAAACACTGATAAATCCTGCACTCCTTAGTCAGGCAAACTCCCACTGACTTCAGTAATTGGACCCATTATTGGTATAATGTTATGGCTTCACTCAAGTTTCTTGTAATACAATCTTTCTATCATATTAAAAATTAACGTCAGTTAGAGTTTTGCTTGCTAGGGAACGTAGTATTGGAGCCACTATCAAAAGTGATTGCCTTACCACCCCCAATATTAATAAACAATATGTAGGGCCTGATTTTGATCTTACCTACATTGGTGTAAATCAGGATTAACTATCAAAGTCATTTGAGTTACTCTGGGGTAAAAATCAGTGTGAGATCAGAATCAAGCCTGTTATTTTCATACCCATCTAGATTCTTCTACCTGGAGCTACTTTCTCATGATTTCATGTTAATGTCAGACAGGTCAGGTCAACATTATTAATGCCCTATACAAACCAGTTTTTTCTCCATACGTATTTGTGTTTATAGTTACCATGGGCAAATCAAGGCCTTGTGGGACTGGGTACAGATCCCATGTATCTATCTGGGACAAAACCTGCAGTGACATAAATGATGGTGTAAGTTGGTCAGCAAACAGGTGTAAATGGTAAAGTAATATAACTTGCACTAACTTTGCATTGAGTGCATGGATTCTGTGTCTATCTAAATTTAATTTCCTCTACACTAATAAAGTGTGAGGCTGCTGAGTGGAGACGCACAGTGGTATTTTAAACATGTAAGTTATAACTACTTAAGAGAATGTAAAAAATAGATTTGTTATTTACAACTGAATACAAAATTGCTGTCCCTTTAAAAATGCAACTTCTAGAATTAGGAGCAAAAGAACTGTAAATAAATTTTAAAAAGTTTAATCCTTGATGACCCCCTTCCTGGTATGGTAGCTCTCCCAGTGAGTGTCACTGTCAGCAATGAAATGGGTGCCTGGATATCCTGACTCTGTATATCAAGGAGTTAACTCAAATGCTTAAGGATTAGTACCTTCACCAGCATTCGCAGGTCCCAGCTTCCATGTCATGTAGGTGCACAAATGCAGCATGGTATTTACTTAGAAAATGTCACTAATGAGAAGTATTGGTTAATAAAGCTAGCACTAGCGGCAGGCAGTTGAACACCCTCTAACTCGTATTTCATGTGCATCCATCTGAAAGCAAGTCTGAGTAGTGGAGTATAGGTACATATGAACTCAGGGCCATACCCTGCCATTTTTCCATGCACAGAAGTGCCAGTAAAGTCAGTGAGAGTCGCACGAGGATCAATGTCAGGATATGGCCTGTGATGTCAAACAGACAACAGGCCAAATTCTGATCTTGGTTACAGAGGTATGAACCTGGAGTAACTCCTCTAATTGATATAATAGAGATCAGAATCTGACCTAACAACTTCTGCTTGTACAGTCAATGAAAGTTTTTCATTCCCTGCAATGGGCGCAAAATTAGGCCAGCACTGAACCTTTCTTTTCTGATAATCACACCCGTGGTGTGTGTGTGTGTTTGTTACATTTTAAAAGAAAAATATATATTGAGAGAAGAGTTGTGAGCTTTAACATATTTCTAACTCTTAAAAAGACAAATTAATATGATGTGTTTAGCCGTTAGCATGCTGCAGCTCATGGTCATTGTTATACATGTAATTATTATAAGTGATCCAGTCGTCTGAACACTGGTATTCTTGATTGTACTGAAGATACTGACAATAAACTGTTTCTTTTCCCAGGAAGTAAGACGGGGAGAGTCTTTGTAAAACAGCTGCACTGAACTGATATGTCAGCTTCCTTCGTATTTTAATGATTTCCCCTGTTCTTCCATAGTTCCTCAATGCTCTGGCCATTTTCTGGTATGTCATGACCTTGCGGTTTCCCTTTCTTTCTCCCCACAGCTCTGCAAGTTTCTCCTTGTTTTTGGAAACAAACTGGAAGACACCATGGGGTTTATCCACCCACTGGATGCAGTTTGCCATATCTGGGTCACACAGAGACTCATGAAGATATTCAAACAGGCGAAGCTTTTTTCTCCCTATCAAAAAAATAAAATGCAAGTGGTCAGAGCATAACTCAGATCCATTTTGAAAGGTGGGCAGCTGCCCTATCCCTGGAAAGGAGACTTAAAGGTAAAGTCTAGGTCAAGGTAGTACCCAGTCACAGATTAAAAGGCCAGTATAACTGGAGCAGTAGAAGACCAGCGCAGATTTAATGGGGCTATAGTTGTGAGATATAGACAGACTGTGGCAATAGGGATTTGATCATTACAAGATTGATAGTGGGGTATATGGTGACCACAAAAAACACTTGGCACTTTAGTAGCTGGCCTCAAAAGCGGCAAATCGAACAAGATATTTAGACAGACTTCTAATGAGTGCTGGGGGGAGCCCATAGTCAAGGTACACATTGAAATCAATGCCATGGAGCAATGCAGGAAAGAGGTTCTGAATGGAACCGGTCAGAATAGTTAGGTAAAAGGGTGTTGTTGTTGTTGTTGTTGTTGAAATATGCTGTTTTGTCAAAGCCAAAACAATTTGGGTTCAACAAATCGATTCTGACCAACTGGGAAGGTTTCTGAGGTCCAGGGTGGACTTGCTGGTCAATTCAAGAGAGAGATCGGAATCAAAACCCTGACCTTTATGATCACAAAATAGGCGTTTGACACAATTCCATTTCACAAAAATGTTTGAAAGTTTTTGTTTTCATTCCAAGGTAGAACTAAAACAAATTTTAATACCTCAAAAGTTGTCGTGAAACAGAATTGTCATCCTCCAGCCACCTCTGGTTCTGGAGGCTTAAGGTAGATAACTAGGAAACAGGCTTAACTCCAGGGCTTTAAAGTTGCTTTTCTCTGAAGTGTTTCTAGTTCCATGCTCAGAGCCAGCTAGACAGGGGATGAGAAGCCAGTGTAAAGAAGTGGGACTTAGGGCAGGTCTACAATAAAAGCGCTACATTGGTGCAGCTGCGCCACTGAAGCGCGTCTGGTGAAGATGCTCTCTGCCGACGGGGGAGCACTCTCCCATTGGCATAATTACTCCACCTCCTTGAGAGGCGGGAGCTATGTTGTTGGGAGAGTGTCTCCAGCCAACATAGCACCGGTGTGGACAGCGCTTAGGTTCCTGTAACTAGAGTCGCTCAGGGTGGTGGTGTCTTTTTCATACCCCTGAGCGACTTAAGTTAGATTGACTTAAGCGGTAATGTAGACCTGCCCTTAATTTTATTGAACACAGGGGGAAAATGTGGGGAAGGGAGAGTCTATGCAGAAGTTCCACTTTAACCAAAGTGGAAGCAGACTGCTGGCACCTAAAGCTAATACAATTTGGGGTGATCGTTTTAAACTAGGAGAGGGGAAGCTGACAGTTGCGCAGGAGCACTTAGTCTAAACCAAGACATCTGCTAGGGATGACAGTAACCCTGCATCTGGTAAAAAAAGAGTAGGACAGCTGTACTGGAGGAGGAACCACTTGAGCTCAGAGGTACTTTCCAGAAAAGTAACAGGATGTCAGACTAAGGAGTTAATTAAAAATAGGCATACAGCTATGTAGCCTATAGGACCCATGTTATCTAAACAATATTATTAACCTCCCTAAAATCAGGCAACAGCTAGAAACAAATACTCTGCTACCACAATGAAAAGTTTAAAAGCAAAAATAAGTGAACTAGAATGATCATAATGGTCCCTTCTGACCTTAAAGTCTATGAGTCTATGAGTCTGGCAATGGAAGATGGCCCAGGACATAATAGGCACTTCTGAAACTTGGTATAATGACAAAAGTCAAGGCACCCTGGCTAGAAACTATACAGGAAGTTGCAGCAGTAACACTATCATTAACAGATTCCATATAATAAAGTTAAAAGTTTGGAGTGGAAAATCATTATGGATACAAATCCGAAGTCAGAATAGAAATATACTAGTAGGGTGTATAGTTCTGGTCTCCTGAACAGCAGAAGGATATTGAGTACACAGGGTTGAAAGAGAGCAAACAGGCAACTTAGTCTAATAAAAGAATAATAATCAAATGTATCTTCAATTAACAACATGTAAAATGGTCAAGTATTGCATTAGGATAAATTTTAGAGAGGCAATATTTCCATATTTTTAGTGATTGCTTCTTGGAATACTGAGCTCTAGTGTGCGCAGGAGGAGAGCGGCTATTATTGACTTAGTCCCAAAGAGTTTATTCAAGAAGTAACTATAATTGAACCACTAGGTCATAGTGACCAAAGTATAATCAAGTTTAACATCAGTCAGCAAGGGAACATAACAAAAGCTGGCACTCTGAGACTAAACATTAGACAGGGAGATTTCAAACACAACAACAGAAAAGGGAAGCTCCTCAAGAAGACCATCAAGTCAAAAAAGGAGCATTTCATCTCAGCATGAAGGCTACTTAAGTCTACCATAGCAGAGTCACAGAAGGCATGCTTACCCCTAAACAAAAACAAGCAGAAAGGCAAGAAAAACAGAGTGGTTAAATTGCAAGGTGCATGAGGTAATTCAAGCCAAACCAGATATCCTTCAGAAAATGGAAATCCAACTCTAATGAAGTCAATAGAATGGAGTATAAACTATGGTAAAATGCACAATAGAATTTAGGAAAGCTAAAAGGGAATTTGAAGAGCAAATAGACAAAGACATACAATAAATTAAAAATTTATTTAGGTATATCAAAAGCTTACCAGGGAAATGATGAGTCTGCTGGACCACAGGGAATAAAAGAAATAAACAAAGTGGATAAGTGGACATTTGCAGAGAGCTAAATGATTTCTTAGCACTGGTCTTCACCACAGATGATTTACCTTTTTTCAGGTAAGGAGGTGGTATTGTCCAAGACTGAGATATCAAAAGATGTATCTATACTTGGAAAATGACAATATTCTAGTAGAGTAACATTTTGATATAGAGGGTTCTATAAATCACTCAGATGGCTAGATTATTCCAGTCTTTTTGCTATCTGTCTGCAGACCTCAGATCTTAATTAATTAAGCCCTCTGGGAGTTGTATTCCAGTAAATAATACATCAAAAGATTAATTAAATTTCTCCTGGTAATAGTAAAGTAAAGAATTGAGGAAATAATGAAAGAAGCATGATTCACCACTTCTAAAAGAAGGATTTGGAGATAACACAATGTTCACAGAAAGCAGAGTTCTTTCTACACACCTTTCCCTCCTTTTTGCTGGCTAGCAGTAGTATGCATCACTTGGTTTTCTGGAATATTCGACAGAGTGTGGTAAACAGTTCCTTCAGAATATAAATCTGTTGCACTATTCTTCAAGAAATTAAGACAACAAAGCGTTACCACCAGAAAACACCATGTGAGAAAAAGAAAACTTGAAAAGAACTGACTGGCTCACTGGATAGCCTCAGGAATCCTACCATTCGTCACATGACACACAGGAGATTTCCCCCCACCACTACTGTGTGTAGTACATAGGGTTAATAAAGAGCACTGTCAAACTAGGAGAAACAAGGTGAGTGAGGTAATATCTTTTATTGGACCAACTTCGGTTGGTGAGAGAGACAAGCTTTTGAACCACACAGAGCTCTTCTTCAAGTCCAGGAAAGGTATTCCTATCGTCACAGCTAAATAACAGATTGTTATAGCAAAAGTAGTTAGCACATATTTTAAGGGACATTCAAGGTAGAATGGTCTGTTAACACCCTCTGCAGTCATAGGACAAAAAGGGTGATTAGTGGGTTACAGATTGTAATAAACCATAAATCTAGTGTCTCTGTTCAGTCCATGAATTTTAGGCTATGTCTAAACTACAGGTTATATCAGTGTAATTTATATCGCTCAGGTGGATAAATAAATCACACACACACATACGCCTCATAAATTACACTGACATAGGAACTGGTGTTGTCAGCGCTATGTTACAGAGGCTGGAGTAGGTAAGCCAACGAGAGAGCTTAGAGCGGCTACATTAGAGAGCTTTAAGCAGCACAGCTGCATTACCTCTTGGTGCATTGATGCAGCTGCGCTGCTGTAAACTCTCCTGTGTAGCCAT